TCCATTAACGGATATAGTTTTTATCCCTATGTCTGCGGATAAATTTGTAATCCCCGCCCCCGTCCCGTCCCCCGCCTTCACCCCCACCCCAGTCCACCTTATCCGCCCCAACCCAAGCTCAAGTCAAGCCAACATAATCCAAAATTTTAAATAAATATAACATTCTAAATAATCTAACATAATTATAGAATATCATAACATAATTAAAAAACTTGTCATCTACAACATAATTCAACATAATACAATTAAAAGTTTGTCTCCCATGTAAATCCAACACAACATCATGCAACACAATATAAAGTATCATAACATAATCCAACATAAACAAAATATATATTAAAACACAAACATCTATACTTTTACAAGCCAAAAACATGAAAAACAAATTAAAAAACAAATCAATTTCTAAAAGAAAAAATCATTCAATAATATGTAGATTTGTCTTGACAGCAACACATATATATATAATTGTCCATATCTGAAGGCACTATGTACCACAAAAAAATCGCTAATGAATTTTTCAAATATATTCGCAAATAATTTTTCTTGAACAAAAGTTGCATTGAAAAATAGACAAATTTGAAAAACCCACACTGAATTGTCTAAACATCAATTAGATACATACCCCCTTACATTGCACAAGTATATGTGAATCCCAAATATACGTTATTTGCACTCATAGTTGAAGCAGCCAAAAAAAATCACTAAAAATATATTTTCCCAATCTATTGGCAACGGACAATGATGCATTTAGTGACCAAAGACAATTTTCAATCCCCACACACTATGGCTTGAACAATTCCAATATGTTACATGAGCAATGGCAACAGCTAATAAGCATTTTCACTCACATATGCACACTAATCAATTATTTGTTTTTCTTTATTTTTTCTCGGATAACTAAATAGAAAAATTTATTAAAAATGAAAATTACAACTCAGTTGGGAAGATAGACCTTTTATTTGGGCCTCAACGACAACATAGCTATGAAAAAAAAAACAATATAAGCCAATCATGCACAATTAATAGAAGATGAATATCTCCAATTGAATCGCACAACCATCTATTCCAACCTTTCATGGTATGGACAATGTTTAAAAGTACACCACACTGCAGGATCATGAGAAAGGTGATTACCTGCATATGATGAGATTTAGATGGGTGCAATTACAAAAGCCTTTAGGGCCATAGCAACATATTCTTTGAGACCTAAAGTCTTTGAGAATAGATTCGTGGTGAAGATCAATACACACATCAATGACACCTAACAAATTATGAAAAATGTTTAATAGCATTAGCATAAGGCGAGGCTGCAAAAATAAAAAGATGTACTAGCATACAGTATGACAGAATGTATGACTCTATATGGCAGAATGATGGACAACTGATCAGATTTTAAGCAAGCAGGTGACCAGATTTGTTAGGGAGAGTTAATTCTGTAGTGCAAGTGTTTAAAAACGTAATCCCATCTAACTTACTTAGGTACACCCATAATCATTCCATTCCTAGTCCCAATCAACCCTACCCCCCTAAAAATTTGTCACACCACAGTGAGGAGAAGAGTTAATATTCAGCTTCCATCCACATAAATTAAAAATACTGCACCAGGAGCAACACAAACAAATGAAGCAATTTTCATGCTCAAGGACAAGAAAAGAAATGACATTATTCTTGAGAGATTTTGAGAAAGAGAGAATCGTTCAAGCTGGACGTGAAGGTGATTTCAGTCAATGATGTGACCTAATGTAGAGGGCCACAGGGTCGTGACATGTGAAGTAAATTTTCTTTCAATTGAAACGGGTCTTGCTTGGGGGTGTGATTGTTTGACCAAGGAGTTGTCCGTCTGTGAAGGACAGTGTTAATCAAGAATATAATTCAAATACTTTAGCTATGTAACTTGCACGTGGAAGCAAGGTTTTGTTACTTAAGAGTCATTAAGGAAGAACTTGTTAACCATGTGTTTAGTTATGAGGTAGGGGCGTGTGATTTTCTGATGAAAGTGTTGTTAAAGGACCATGGGAAGGGTTTCACCAAAATCAAGTCAAAGACATCCAATGAAGATGGTACACATTAGTACGGACAATGTGTACTTGGAGTCTAGTGTAAGAGAACATAAAAATTGTGTGCAACACATTTGAGGTAACTAAGGAGGCTGGGTAAGTAGATATTCCAAGTGTTCAAGGAAGATTTGAAGAAGATGAACACGAAAGCATGGGGGACAAAAACTCATTTACCAGCTCCAGAAGTCAAGCATCAACTAGAGCACCTGTCGAGGACTGATAATAAGCATTAACAGTAATCAAATCAACTCAAGCATTCGAAGACAATAGAATCTACCACAGAAATAGTTCCAAGAAGCTAAGACCCATGTACACTGATGTATACACAAAAGAGTACAAACATCATCACAATGAATGCAATAAAAGCATACACATACACGCATGTTCATATGTACCTTAATATGTTGTTGCCATGCCCTTGTGGCCGTCTCCTCTTATGGAATAACATACACTGTTGTGTTCCCATCAAGTGGCATTCACTTCCACTGTGTGTGCAGGCAATCTCTAGACCAAGACAAGCATATACAAAGTGGAAAGCATTAAAGCTTTAGACCAAGACAAGCATATACAAAGTGGAAAGCATTAAAGTTTTATTGGTTGACATTAAAATATCTCAACATGCTTGGTTAAGCCTTGCCGGATAAAGAATTAGACAATGAAACAAAGTTAACAAAACCATAAAACCTAAACTGTTCGGTCAAATAAAGTTAATATTTGGAGCTGAATGCCCGTTGGCTAGCACCAAAACAGCTTGACAATGCTTAAGCTGGAAATTTGACAATAAATAAAGACAAATAATAGGCAAAAGAAACCTTAAAACATGCAAACAATGTCTTCATGTACTTCAACTAAAACAAGTGATATAAAGTAAAATAGGAAAACAAAGTCATTTTTCTCATCCTTCAAAGAATAAATTAAAACCAACAATATCAGAAATTGAAGAACAGGCCAGTTTCAATTGTTACGCTCCCACTCCACCACAAGAAAAGGCAAAAACTACCACCAAATAAGCTCGAGCTGACAAAAAAGCATGCACACATACACAATAATTGAAAAAATTTAAACCATAAAACATGTAAAAATAAAGCCAGGAATTTGAGGAGCTAGTTACCTACTCCATAATTGAAATCTGAAAGCGGATCACAAACACCATTACCTTTCAGAACTCCCATCTTCCTATGTTTTCTTTTTTAACAAAGTCAGATGCATAATGATTAAATATCATCCACTTTCTGATGACCAAAAAAACAATATCATCTGTTATCATTTCCACGCCACCAAAAGGAAATCTTAACCCCAACAAAAAAGCAAATGCAGACACTCTTCTTCAAACAAAGATGTAAAGATAGCTTAAACATACGAATGAAGATATTCTGCATGTATTTAGACATCTTTCAATCTAAAAAGGAGATGGAGCTTTAAGTTTGTGTTCAGCAAGCGCCAGATGACCTAATTATCAACACTTTAGTTCTCTTGATACCAATTGACACACCAAATTCGATTACATCTAGGGCTCCTGAGGAAAGTGAAGAAATTATGTCATTTTACTTGATTCCAGGTGGTAATGACTTTACTCTATACAGACCCAGGACAAGCTAAGTAAGCCCATCCCATAGCATAAATAACAGTAGAACCCTGTCCTACCCCTAACATAGGACATGCAAGCCACCTGATTGACTCGCAATGCCCAAGTACTTCTACCACAGGAATGGAGGCTATATAAATGCCCTTGTAAAACTTAAAACTCAGCTCAACAAAGCTTTTACCCCACTTGTGAAATATAGAGTTGACAAAATAAGAAGGCCACTGGAGTACAGTCTAACAATTTTCAGCATTGTCTTTCTCATAGGCTCTATTCACTTCACGGGGGGGGGGGGGGCAACAAAAAA